GTTTTTTTTTTTTGTTTAATAGACAATTATATTAAAAAAAATTAAAATTTTGTTTTGGGTCAGATAGATTCGGGAATTTTAAAAAAATTAGTAGGCGAAGACACAAAATTAAAAATTTAGGGATATTTATCGATTTATTTTTTAATTATATTTGAGTTAAAAATAAATTTTTTTTAAGGTTAATAAATATATATATTTTCTGAGAATGGAAATATTTAATAATTGTAAAAGGGCAAGGTGAGGATGACGATATGGAACCCTACAAACCGTAACATGACGGTGCTGTTCGTGCCCTCAAGGACGTGTCAATGGCAATCTGTGATTGGTCGGGCCCTACTTTACCTGTCACGTGTCAGAATCTGGTTGGGTTGTCAATTCAATGCGTGCCTCTATCGGTGGGAAATATTACAGACTACTTGGGAATTGGGATTATTTTTTTGGGTTAAATCGTAAAAAAATACCGTTAAAACTTCCATATCTGTTTTTAAAACTCCTTTAAAAAATAACAATAATACTTTTAGTTTCTAAAAGAGCAATATGATAAAGAAAGCTTAAAAAAAATAATATCTATTAAAAGTTGGGCCGTTATACCACCTCACTTGGTAGGTCCAATGTGCCTTGTGCTAGCAAATCATTCAATGTTTGACTTTAATGTTGTCTGGTTTGATCCATTACATATCGTCGTCATTCTTACAATTTTATACAGAAATTTCATTTCTCTCCCCATCGAGGTTAGATCTCTCATTTTGACCCCAAGTTTTGTATAATATTACTATAGATAATGTCAAAATGGGACAAAATTAAATCAAATTTAAAAATAGAGGACCAAAAAAGAATTAAAAAAGCTAAAAGTAGGGTAGGATGAAAGTTGTATTTAAACACATTTTGAATCTATCAAGTCACAATAAGTTATGGGTATTAATTGTTTCACTTAAGGTTTAAATTAATCTGAAAAAAAATTAATCTTTTCTGGAGTTCAAACTTGAATTGACATTAGGGTAAAATTGGGTCCTTCATTTTATATTCGTCTCTCACGCGATTTGGTGTTCTAAAGAGGGAAGAACCGAAGCACAATCTGAAGCTTCCATTATTACCGGTGATAAAATCAAGCGGCTTTGATTATTATCATCGTTAGTCAACAGATGAGCTGAATTTTTTTCCCCAATCTTTTTCGATTTTGTCTCTGTTTTTAATATTTGTTGGAGCTTCGAGTTCTCCGTCTTTCTTGGAGAACAACAAATGGCCATTGTTTTGCCAACCAACTCACCCACTTCTTTAAAGGGAAATTCCCCCTTTGTGCGAATGTTCCAGATCCCATCTTCTTCTTTCATTGGTTTTTCACTCTTTTGAGCTAACTGGTAGATCTCTGCCATGGAAAGTGCTCTCTCTGGTTCTTCTTCAGTTTCTTACTCCCTTTTTTCCTCTTCTTCTCAGCAGCCTCACAGGAGCTTCTTCAAGACCTCACATGTACTTTCTTTTTGGTTGTTTTTGTTCTGTGTTCTTCCTTTTCTGTGATGATTGTTCTTCATTTCTTGGCTCTTTTGTTGTTGCAGATCTTTGAGTTTAAGCTGAGAACGAGGAAAATGGAGCATACCCATTTGAAATTGGCTACCCCTGTCAAGTAAGTTCCCCTGTTTGTTGGAACTGGTCCTTTAATTTGCTTGTTTTCTTGAATGCTTTAGCTGTTTGTACCTCCTTGTGTTGTTTTCCTTGTAATTCTAGGTGAAATTGACATAAGGAAGAATGTTAATAAGCTTATGAAATCTGTGCACTTACATTCCAAACATATGGGATTGTTCTAATCATGTTTTGTGTTAGAACGACAGTGTTGTATCCATTGTGATGTATATTAGTGATGTTCGTTGAGTGATAATGGAATGGAAAGTTCACATGAATGCTCAATTGCTCATGATTTTGAGTGCACTACAAGTTTAAGAACGACATCATTTATCATAGTTTCAATCCAGTTTCAACCCCTACTTATTCTTTAGCTGCTTCTATTGTGTTCATTCATCCTTTTATCTGTTGTGTAATAAATACAAAGGATGTCTGAAAATTTGTTGTGAGATCTCGGTTGGATAGGGGATCGAAACATTTTTTGTAAGGGTGTGGAAACCGCTCTCTAGCAGACGTGTTTGAAAACCTTGAGGGGAAGCCCAGAAGGGAAAGTCCAAAGAGGAAGCTAGCGGTGGGCTTGGGCTGTTACAAATAGTATTAGAGCTAGACTCGGGGCAGTGTGGTAGCGAGGACGCTGGGCCCCCAAGGGGGTGGATTGTGAGATCCCACATCGGTTGGAAAGGAGAATGAAACGTTTCTTATAAGGGTGTGGAAACCTCTCCCTCGTAGATGTGTTTCTTGAGGGGAAGCTCAAAAGGGAAAACCCGAAGAGAATAATATCTGCCAGTGGTGGGCTTAAGTTGTTACAAATGGTATCAGAGCCAGACGATTGTAAGATCTCACATCGGTTGGAGGGAAGAACGAAACATTCCTTATAAGGGTGTGGAAACCTCTCACTAGCAGATGCGTTTTAAAACCTTGAGGGGAAGTCCAAAAGGGAAAGCCCAAAGAGGACAATATCTGTTAGCGATGAGCTTAGGTTGTTACATCTGTTGACTGTCAGTTTAAAGTTTCAAATTTACGCTATTTAGCGATTTTCACCCTTGTGGATAAAAGGGGCTAAGCTTTCGTTAAGAAAAACGACAGAAGTATTTTTGGTGGTTCGAGTAAAGAACTTCGACTGTTTCATGCTTTCAACTTTTTTCTTTCCACATGCAGCTGCAGCCACCCTGGACTGACTCAAGAAGTTGAAAAGAACAAGATGAACGTTGTGATAGAAACCGAAATGCGGCAAGACTTATTCGAGGAAATCAAACATCGATTTCTAAGCTTTAAAAGGAATACATATATGTAAGCAACGAGCTACTCTTCTTTTGGCGTTACAAAACTTCGAAAGAAAATAACTTTCTTCCACTTGTCAGGAAAAATTTCGAACATTTTCAACGTCTTTCCGATGCTCAATCTCCCAAAGTGAGTATTCATCTTCCAATATCAATGGCTTCTAGACAACTTTTGAAATGGATTGCTCTTAGCTTAAGAGACGATCGCGTCAACTGACATTTTGAAGACAGTTTTTGGTGATTTCTTGTGCAGATTCTAGAGTTTGTCCCTCGAACGTTTTAGGTTTCCAACCCGGAGAAGCCTTTCTTGTTCGCAATATCGCGAATTTGGTTGTACCCTTCGAGGCACGTAGTCTATGACTTTGAATTGCATCAGTTCATATCGTTGTGGCTGTTTTTTTCGTAACTCTGTTGGAACGAAACAAAGAAACTTTTCATGAACGAACGGAACAAGTAGATTCGTCGAAGTTTTGAAATAAATTACTGTCGAACAAATTTCGTATCTTGTTTATTTGCTAAACTTTTCAGTCTTGTTATTATCACAGAAAGGACCATCAGAAACACAAGCTGCTTTGCAATTCTCTGTTAACACGCTCGAAGTAAGTTATCTTTTAAACGATATTGATATCAATGTTCGTTGATTAAACTGTGTAATGCGTTGAACATGCGATTTTGTTCGATTGTAGGTTGAAAACATTTTCATCATTGGTCATAGCTGTTGTGGGGGAATTCGCGCACTTATGAGTATGCAAGACGAAAAACCGAGGTTCGATTGAGCTGAATTCAATACTTTTGTTTGAAAACGCTATATATGATTCTTGAAAAGTGTACTCTTTGGAACTGAATGCAGCTGTTTTATCACAAATTGGGTTATTAATGGAAAGACTGCAAAAATAAGAACAAAAGCTGCTGCTTCCAACCTCAACTTCGACCAGCAATGCCGACACTGTGAAAAGGTTGTCTCTCTATTTACAAAATCCTT